CTAAAATGAGCCAGTTTTAGAAAATCAATGTTATGCTTTCCATTAGGAAACCTAGAGCAGATTTACTCCTTTTCAGTCTCTGCTGCTATATGTAAACACAGACAAGCCATCTTAATTTATCTATTTATAAATTTTTTGAGTTTGTTTGCATTAAACTGAGTTTGAGTTACAAAGCATATAAATGGGTTTACTAGAAAAAAATGCATTTATTTATAAACTTTTAAAAAAGAATGATTTGTTACCTGGTTGATTTGAAGAGTAAACATCAAAACAGACGATCTTGTTTGAGAATAGAAGGTGTGGCCTACTACCAAATTGCAACCTGTAGTTATACATCCTGCTGTTCTAAGTATGTTTCCAGTTGAAAGAAGGGGGAGAGTATAGAGAAACTGCATTTTACACATAGACAGGGTGTATAATAAGTGAATTAATTGTGTGTCTGTAAATCTAAATAGCGTATATCTAAGTATAGGGTAGCATGTTTGTTCATTATCTGAGGGAAAAATGGATTAATTGATCGTTACCTCAAGAGTGTTGCTCATTAATTGGAAAGAATTTATTTAAGTAATCTCTTTTAATAAGGTTGAAAAGAACTAGTATAGATTCTCAATATAAGCAGTATAATTTCTTTCACAGTGTTGTATTCCCAAGGCATGGAGTTTAAATAGATTTTGATCTTCTCCTTCATAAACTTAGTGGCTAATTGTCTTGATCAGTGTTACCATTTGCAATATTGCATGAAAAGGAAGATTTAAGCTGGCTGGATAAAAAGGTGACACATTCATTATAATGAAAGGCAAGAGGAAGAACTCTGGCTCAACTTCTACATCTTTCATCATTAAACTGAATGCTAAAAACAAAGTGTGCGTTTAAAATGCCATTGTGTTACTTCAAAGCTTGATGTTTTTGTTGCCTGCTTGTCTCTTCCTCACACTTGTCTTCATGGCTTGCTTGTTACATGTGGCAAATGGCTTAATAGCATTTTGTAATGCATACATGGAATGTAAATTTCCTCTATGGATCTGTAACAATGCAATATGTATATTCTTTTAGATATCAAAAGCGTGCTGGAATCCATTGGTTCAAATATTACTACCTTCACAAAAGCGCTCCCTGTTCAGAAGATTTTAGATGATTTGATGGTATATCTTACACAGAGTGAGGCATATGTTCAAGATTATTTTCCATTAGTGGAGCAGTATGATTTCTACAGGTATGTACATGAAACAAGGCAGGAGTGAAGTGTTACCTGTTGTTAATATTTTTTAATAGTTTAGTGGTCTATAAAGGCAAGTAAACTATTAATGATGAACACAGTGAAACAAAGATGCTATAAGGCATGCTATGTTTGTTACTGACATTTTGGTAAAGGGCAAAAATGCAGCTAATCAACATCTGTGTGCTGTTCCACCACAGATCAGGAGGTAGTTTCTACTCTAGGCCTTCAGGTCTTTTTCAGGAAGGATAGAGGTAGGTAGATGTCAAAGATGTAACACCTAAAGAAAATCAGTTGTTTTATAATGCCAGGGTGACTTTTTAGTTAGGGCTTGTTTTCAGTGAGTTGCAGGTAAGTTGTGAGGGCATAGGACCACAGAGACCTTGCAGCCAATCCCTTGTTATTGCACCCTTTTTACCACAGGGGAGTAGCAGGGATTCTGCCTCACAGCTGTAAATCTGTGCTCACCTGCGTGTGTCCCTGCTGGTGTAGCACTTGTCCTTGCAAATGCATGGGTTAACTGTACATTGAGAACAACATACTCTTTCTGTTTGAGACTTTGTGACTTTTACAGTTGAGTAATCTCGTATTTTGAAGCATAAAGCTTTTTATTTCCTACCATCTACCTTTGTCCAGATTTAGTCATTTCTGTCCTCAAGCTCATCAAATTCTCCCTACATTTTTTTGACTCTTCAGTTGATTTTATAATTGATAATTGCTTTTATCTTTGTGTCATAATCAGTTTCACTGCTACAGACTGTGTGTTGATGGCTTTAATGCAGTGTTACATAAAAGTGTGCAGAAGACAACTTCTAGAACCTTTTTTAGGACCTTACCTTTAGCCCATTCCTTATCTGACAGTTTTATGGTGAGCCTTAATTTCACAAAATTATCAGTATTTTCTTTGAAGCTCACATAGCATTTAACCAAATAAATATATTGTTTAATTCTGCTACTGCAGAATATCTCATCTACATTGACACTTAAATGCATGTTTTTGTCTAACCTAATAGTACTTCAAGTACAAATGAGACCAACAAGCCTGTAGTTGTTTAAATTATTTTCTATCCATTTCTTTCTTAATTACAGCTACATTATTTGCAGTTCTTAATAAATATTCTCTTACAAATATGCCTGTCAGCATTAATGACTTCCTTTTTATTGGCTGTGCATGTTCATTACAGTATTTCTTTTACAGAATTTTCTCTACAGCGGTACAGGGAGGAAAAAAGGGAACTTAAAAATATAAGTGACAACAGAAGAGAAAAAGAAATGCAGAGGAAATTGGGAGAGGATTAAAGGCTAGAATGTGATATATAATGTATGAATAAATAGATGTGCTCCAGCTACGTGGACAGATAGACCTATTGTGTGATGTATTTAATAAAAATTAAAGTTCGTTTCCTATCCAAGATCTTTCTCCTCATCAAGTTCCGTTAACTGTTCCAATCATTGAAAGCATTCTACACAATGCCTAGGTTTTTACAGCCTTAAATATAGTTATTTACAATTACAAGCCTAACACAGTGTGCAAAAAGTTAGTAAGCCTTGCAGTAAGAGCAGCTGTGTACTTAATGACTGATGGCCAGTCCACATTCATAAATTTCTCCATAGCTTCTTGAATAAGTTACTGTTTGAACATCTGCTTCTTCTGAGTCATTGTTTGCTCCACTTGGAGCACTTTGATGCTTCAGCACAGTCCACCTGCAGTAACTGGTGTTGGGGACACCTTGTTCCTGTGGTGTCTGTTTCCCAGTCCTTCAGCAACAGCTGCCTGTAATCCAACAATAACTATGTTCTGGCCCAAAATTCACGCTAGTGTAGCAGATGCTTGTTTTTGTTGCTAGCATTTGTTGCTCAGACAGATCCACGAGGGGGCCAATTGGGAATATAGTATTACATGATGTTCTCTGCAGGTCTCCAGTGTGTTCTTTGCATGAAAATAACAAAAAACTTCGTCTTTTATTCCTCAGGTGGCTGGGGTGTCTCATTCTGTGCTGCATGCTGGTCCTCATTCTGGTCTTTTACTATCTTGGATTGCTATGTGGCACCTGTGGTTATGATAAACATGCTTCTCCAACAACCAGAGGCTGTATCTCCAACACTGGAGGAAACTTTCTTATGGCGTAAGTTTCACTTATATGGGAAAAATGAACTAAGTGTACCTGTAGAAAGTTGGTTTGGTTGATTTTGGAGGACGTAAAAAAGAATCTGGTTTGTTACCTATCTATATCTGCTAAGAAAAAGTAGAAATAAATACTGATCTCACATACTTGAGGGACTTGGGCATTTTGGGTTGCTCTTTCATTGAGGATCATAGCTGAAGGATAAAACCTCTGAATCTGCTGTTCTAAGGCGAGTGTTTTAGCTAATGAATTTCTGTGTAAGCCCCTGTGGGAACTGGAAAAACTGGGAACAGATAATTGAAAATAAAAGGGGAAAGTCATAGCTTTTTAGTACACTTGAGCATTTGCTCAAAATTAAAAAGTGAGGAGACCAGAGACACTTGACTTTCTCAGAGCATTTCAGAAGGTTTAGGGTTGAAAAGTGCCTAGTAGTGGATTAATGTTGTTTCTGCTGAGTGCAGGAGAAGATTGCACCTGAAACCTTCCTAAAACTTTTTTGAGACCACAAAGCTAAAGAGTTGAATTTAAAAAAGAAAATTGTATGGTTTTGTGGCTCTTAAATGTGATTCTTAAACAGTTTGCACGCCCATTGCAAATGTGAGCATTTTAGATGCACTTTAGCTGAAGACTTTACAGTGCTGAAACATATGTTTCAGAGGACAAGAACGTATTTGGAAAACAGAAGTATTTCAACCGTCTGTCAGTTTTCCTATCTCTGTTATAACTCCTAACTGTTGGCCTCACTGTTGCCACAAGTGCGTGTGTGCGTATATATATATAAAATGTTCTTAACAAGCAAAAACTTATTCAACTTATTTCTTTTACAGAGGAGTTGGATTCAGTTTTCTGTTCTCCTGGGTGCTGATGACTGTGGTGGTGCTCACTTTTGTCACAGGTGGAAATGTAGAAAAACTGGTCTGTGAGCCCTTTGAAGATAAAAATTTATTCAAGGTGAAGTTATTCATGTTATTAAAAAATTATTAGAATCCCAGTGAGCCCAATGCTCTTGTCAGCTCTGTATGGCATATTATTTTTTATAGGACACTTTAAGTGAGTTTGGATCTGGTTTTACTTTCTCCTTACACACCAAATAGAGACATTCATCCTTTCTTGGTTTAATTTGCTTTGCAGTGTAAGTACTGCATACCTGTCTTTGGAGACAGATTTTTCTGATTCAGCTTTCCTCAGTGATGAGGAGCTTTAATATTCACTTTCTGCACCAGAGTTTGAATTTGCTGTTATGCTTGTATTTTCATTAGTGGGTGATAAGCTTAGATGTGGGTATGTCTCAAAAGACCACATATGAACAAGTACATGAAGAAACTTGGGATTATAGTAACATTACTGAATTTTGTCTTCTAGGTTTTGGATACACCTTACTTACTAAATCAGCAATGGAAGAACTATCTTGCTGGCATTCTCTTTAAAAATCCAAATGTTAACTTGACTTTTGAAAAAGTGTACAGGTATTAAAGTTATGATTAAGATTTAATTCATTTCATATTTAATTCACTTTTAGTTCATTCATTTTACACATACTCATTTGGTGGTATCTTTCATGCTTCGTTTTCCGGGCACATCCAAAAAGCGCACATATTCCAGAAGACATTCTGATTTTCTAGTGAATCACTAGCAAAAGCAATTTTCTCCCATATATGAGTTATTAGAGGTAGTCTTAGCATAATATTGTATGGTGATACTGGTCAAGCTCTTTGATAAAATATTGTGCATCTTTGAGACAACTGTTAATTACTTTTCTTGTAGTCTGAGCTTCAAAAAATATAGCCAGTATTTTTTTTCTAAAGGATTGATTTTCTTAGAATAAGAAAAAATCATTAATCATTCTTTTAATACTTGGTCCTCCAGGTAGTTTTTAGGCTGATCTGTGTATTTGTGTTTTTTTAGTGATTGCAAGGAAAACAAAGGAATTTATACTTCCCTTCACCTGGAATACCTGTTCAATATCAATGAGTTTCTAAATATTAGTATGGTAAGTAAAGAAACTATGAGTGAATGCATGATTGTTTCTGAAGGATGTTTGCTCTCAAAACATTGTACAGTGTGTCCTGGTTTGCTGAGATTTTTGTTTTTATATACAAAACATCCTTCAAGGAGTCAAGAACTGTCCAAGCTAATCTGAAAAAAAGAAGTCTAGTTACAAATAAGATGTTTTTTACCAGTCTTGGTGGTCCATGGAAGATTTTCTAATGTGCTTTTTTTATGGATGCTGATAATAATGTTGGTTTTAACTTTGAAGCTTGCATAGAAGGAAGGTTGAAGTCTAGCGTCTTCCAAAGGCTGCTTATGGTGTTTAATGACAGTCTTCTTTTTATATAAATGCCTTTCTTGGCGCGTTCTCTTCTGATTACAGTCAGATCTGAGTTGATCTAGGATGTGATATACTGTGGTCTTAAGAATGGTTGGAAGGGGTTGGGATTAAATAATCTTTTCAGTTAAGATTTAATAATCTATGACTGCACTGTCATTCATCATCATCATCATCATGGCTAGGCTTTGCAAACAAAGATTTGGGGAGGGCTCTACCCACGTTTGTTACAAGCACACTGGTGGCTAAAAAGGCCAGTATGAGATAGACACATCCGGTTGCAAAAGGCACAGCAGAAAGACTCATTAGGTGGTATATTCTGCAAGGCACGAATCTTTCTGCGTTGTCTTTTCTCCTCAAGAGTGGTCCTGTGTGCTTCCTCAAAGACATCAGCAGCGTTATAGATGGTGTGTCTGCAGACCTCCCGATTGGAGGCCAGAGTAGACCAGTTATGTTGATCAATACGGCCAAGGCTGAGATGATGTTTCAGGGAGTCCTTGTACCTTTTCTTCGGGGCTCCTCTCTTGCGGCAACCAGTGGCAAGTTCACCATAAAGCAAGATCTTAGAGAGGTGATGGTCCTTCATCCTTGAGATGTGCCCTGCCCAATGCAGCTGTGTTCTCAGTAACATGACCTCAATACTTGTGACTGCTGCTTGTTCTAGAACAGACAGTCACATAATCTGACCAGTGGAACTGTCATTACATGACTGTAGTAATTTTGGGGTTGCCTGTAGTACCTGTCTTCATTACAGCAACCCCTCGGGGATATATGTTCTGTACTGCCAGGCACTGAACCCACACTTAAAAGACAGAGTCCCTCTCCCAAATTATATTCTTAAGGATAATGTTTCCTGGAGGGATGTTAGTCTCTCTCTTAGGAGGGACTAGCATTTATTCAGGGAAGCCTGCTTAAAACAGAATGTAAGGCAAGTAATTCATCGGTATGAAAGAGGCATAGGTAGGTTAGAACCTGGCATGACTGGGTACTGTGGATACTGCAGGGAAGGGAAGAACATTACCACCAACATTACCTGGTGGATTTTGTTGAAGTTAACTAAATTAAACTGATGTAAGCAAAAGTCAGTGCGTGCTTCTCCGTGGAAATGAGGCGTCACCAAAAGTGAGATGCTTTGGGCAGGGGCTATAGCGGAATATGCACTGGTTGCAAACTACTTTGATGCTTTCTTTTGTTTCCCTCTCAGTATACAGAAGATGTAACACTTAAAATTGAACATATCCAGATAAACCTCAGCAAAATCATTCTGCTGGATGAAATTGGGAAGGAGAATCTTCTGAATTTCAGCTCTTCAGGCATAGATGGGATAGACTTTTCAGCATATTTGACAGAGGTGAGACTGTAGTCAACCAGAGACATGACTGGGACAAAGTATGAAATGAAATATTTCTTTAATTATGGGCAAAACAGAAAAATCTGCTTTTGTGTGAAAGGCTATATTTTGAAGGATAATAAAAGTTGGGAAAAAAAGCACTTCAGAAGTTAAGGTCAGTAAATATTTAATCAAATAAAGAGTAAACAGACTAGGTAGTATAGTTAAGTACAAACTGTGTAAATGCAATAACAACACACTCCTTTTCTCACTGTTCACATCTTGTTTCAGATCAATAAAAGTGTTACCAAGGTTGATCTTCTCTCCTTTGCTAATGACTTAGAAGCAAGAGCAGACCAGCTGGTAAGTTTAAGTCAGTAATAAAATAATGATATAAAATGTATCATTTTTATATCATATAAGTATAAATACATGGCAAAGTAGACTTTCTGTGGGAGAATTCTTGTACTTCAGACACTTACATACATTGTGCACTGTCATGTAAGGAAAAACTTTCTAGAACAGTGTTTCCTATGAGCTATATTTTAGATGTTGCTAATTATTGATTTTTGTATGCTGTTGTACAGTTGGAAATCTATTTCCTTAAATTGCATTGTTTGCTTAAGAACTGAGGGGAATACTCCATTTCAGTATTTCCTGTTATGCTCTCTACATTTTCAGAAAAATGGGTTAGATCATGATGGAAAAGATGATTTGAATTAATTTTCTTTCAGTTAGTGAGCAGAAGACTTTGCAATTAGTGATGATATTTATACTGTGGCAGCTCATAAGAGCTCTAGTGAGAACTGGGGCTCCATTGTGGAGGGAGAATGCACAAAAGAAACCCTGTCTTCTCTGAAGGGGTTTTTGAAAGCAGACACATGGGGAATGGTCAGAGGATACTGCTACAGCATTTCCCACAAATGAATCAATCTGCAAGTGGCACAGATCCATGTTAATGGATAGTGACTATTCAGTTGATATGTTTGTATGCATGTCAAGGTCGCTTTGTACTCATTTTTCAAAATGAGAGTCATGGTTTGGACACTGGCCCCAGACAGATTCCCGCATTGCAATGCAGGAGGAAGAGTTACACTGCACACATACTACAATTGGTTGGATCACTAAGGGACAAAGCAGAGGGAGACCACATTGTTTGGAATTTATCAGGTATCCATCCATCCTTCCTCCAGGGAGAGGAGGGCACCAGTGGAAGCCCCTGCTTTGTTTACTTCAGCTTTTTGCATAATTTGCACACACCTGTTGCTGGTTTTGGGTGGTTTTTTTGTTGGTTGGGGATTTTTTCTGCTTCATGTGCACTTGTGTCAAGGTCAGCTGCTCCTGGAGTTTTCTTGTATTGTAGTTAGCAACTTCTCCAAGCACCATCAGTGAGCTGCATATTGCCTGCTTGCCCATGTAGGTTGCCTGCTAACTTGGGCACATACCAGTATCTTTGGCCACACTTTACTTCAGTTTTCAGTTTTTACTGTGCCATTTTGAAGGTTATACAGGTGAGGTGGTTTTGTTGTTGATTTGGGGCTATTTTACAAGCGAAAGCTGGAGTTCTTCAAACATGTTAACATAGGGTTGCCCCTGGGATATGTTCTGCATAGTTTCATAAAGGAAAATATATTGTCGTGGTAGGCTGTTTTCATTATTTTTTATAGTAGTAGAATCTTAAGGAAGCAATAGAATTGAGAATAGATCAGACAGAGTAATTTCTTCATATAAAAGACAAATGCAGTAGTAAATCTGTTCACTATTACAGTGTATGCTTTTATTTCTTCCTTGTGATGCTATTTAGTGTAATCTATGAAATGTCTAAAAAAACCCAAAACCAAACCAAAACCACAGCAATACAATGTATTACAGACATTATATTGTTAAAAAATGATATTGGTTTCCACGAATATTTTATAATCCCGCTTTTTTATTAGTGATAGATCTTAGAGCAATTAAAAAATAAACTAAAAACTTTTGGAATTCATTAACTTCAGGTGTATAGTTTGCATTTTTTGACACCCTACACAAAATTGAACCTATGTTTTTACAGTGGAAAAAAAACTTTCATCAAACCAAGGGGGTCAGGATATGGAGGAGGGAGCAATGCCACCAACAGGTGTTATTAGGTGAATGAATTCACCTTGTCAGTACAGGAGATGAAATATCCTGAAACTAACTGCTCAGTGACCACAGCTGACTGCTTACATGAACACTTCCCAGGAAGGAAACACATCTCTGACCATTGAGGTCTACCATTATTACACTTCCAAAACGGAGTTAACAGTGTGTATTCAGTGTATATGCAGGGAGCCAAGTGGTTTTGCCACCAAAAGGAAATGGAAAATAAATTTATTTCTGGGAGTAAAACAAAATTTTTAGGGTTTTGCAACGAGTGTGAGCTCCAGACAGGTATTTGGACTTGAAAATCAGGGCACAAACTCAAATCTTCTGACAGAAAGGCAGGAGCCACAGAAATGGAAAATACCCTTCACAGGCATCTTTCCAAGTCGCTGGCTGAAAATATCTGTATTTCTGTGCCTCTCAGAAAGCAGAGGATGCCTCAGGGTGATGTCCACATTGCCAAAACAAAAGCAAGTACCCATGACCGAGAGATGCTCGTCCCAGCTGGGGCGCAGTGCTGCGGGGTTCTTGCAGTGAGGTCTGGCTTGTGGCAACTGCTAGGGAGGTGTGCTCACTCTTCTGTATTTAAAATTACTTAGTGCACCATGTGAAAATTCCCTTCAGTTAAATCTGTGCTGATAATGTTGTAGCCAGAAAAGCAAGGTGATACATCTGGTTTGATTGCTGAGGCTTGAATTATTAATACGGTGATTATTTTCCGCTCCTTGTGTTGAGGAATTCAGTTTGCCATATCCCATTTTTAGCATCAGCTGTTCTGGAGTGAATGGGTATAATGTGCAACTTTGTTTTTTGCTTTGTTGGGAAGCTTTGAGATTACTGAACAATACTGCATAATTGCATTTTTTGCAGCCAAAAGGAGCACTGGAAA